GTCAGCACTCATTCCAGTTTTTTTGTTTTGTTTTGTTTTGTTTTGTTTTTTTGAGAGACAGTCTCATGTACCCCAGGCTGACTTGGAACGTACTATGTAGTCAAAGCTATCCTTGAACTCCTGGTCCTCCTGCGTCTGCATCCCAAGTGCTGAGATTACAGGCATGAACCACCACACTCAGCTTTTACTTTAGACACTCCCATTGCCATCTTTCCTCTTGCCCTGAATGCCTTTTCTTTTTCTACTTCATTTCTGCTTGTTAGAATCCTGGATCTCCTCTGGGCAGCAAGTCTGAGAATACTTTCTGACTCTCAACTTGTACCGGTTGCCTTCCTACTTAAATATCTCTGAGTCGCAGAGCTTCACGGGGTAAGTGGTGATAACAGCAGCACAGCATTGTGGGAAGGTTGAAGGGATGCTTGCAGAATCATAGTAACGTGGTGATTGGCATACAGTGTGTGCAAGGTGAAACAGAAATGCAGACAATATGTTTAGACCCCTCCCTCCTTAATTCAAGGAATTTCTAAGTGCCTACTGTGTGCCTGGTGCTGGGTAGATAGACAACACACCTTCTACTGTAGAAAAGTTTTGTTTCTTTTTGCAAACAAGACAGACCTCCTCCTTATTACCTGGTGTATGGAACAGCCCTGAGTTCTATCACTGAGCAGGTTCGGCTTCAGGAAGGTCAACCTAAGAGCCCTTAGAAGCACAAACCCCAGAAAATCACCCGAGAGCAGGATGGCAGGTTATGCTGCCCCCTGGTGTCAGCGAGTTCTTGCTCACGTGCAGCCTTACCACTCCCTTGCAGGCTGCGGGCAGCTAAATGATCAGCTTCCTGCAAAGTAAAGGATTGGGTACAAATTCAAACTTTCTTCCTTTGGGAGGCATGCCCCAAATGCCTAATTTTCCAGGAGCTCCACCATCAGTCCCAATTCTTAGCTGCCTTTTTGGGCTTCCTTCGATAGCCCCAGGCTTCAAACCAGTCATTTCCCTAGTGGACCCTGGGGTTGGGGTGGGCTCTGACGCGGCTGAGCTGAGCCAGCCGGTGCATGTTTGCACCTGTTTGGCCAGATACCTGTCACTTCAACCTCTTATAGCCGTGCCTTACTCAATAGAGCCAGGTCTTTGTCCCCAGAACAGGGATTAGGGCTGGAGGCTCATCTCTGTCTCTTTATGGAGCCCAGTCCCAATGCAGGCCAACCCAGGATGCACCTATTCTGCTAACATAACAGTCCTGCACAACACTCCTGGCCTCCAGTCTTTTCCTCTTGACTCAGCCTGGCCACTGTGTCTAAGCAGAGGGCTCTTCTGTGCCCCCTGACAAAACCCTCTTCTCCGTGTTCCAACAACCCAGGTCCCAAGGAAGAAAACCCCGAAGATTCAGCCCTATCACACAGTTCTCTCTGTATAACTCTGACAGCTCTGACTTCCTTCACTTGACACTTGGCCTACCTTTGTCTGACAAACGCCCTGCATCCCCGCAGAAACCCATAAAGATGTCACTGTTGGGTCAGGTCTGAGGTTAAACAGGTTGGACCTTTTATAAGAGTATAGGGCTACATCAGCCTGAAGGGAGGGGTGCCTTTTAGAAATGTATCCGTCAGGAGTGGCCCCTCTTTACAGTCTGCATGCAGGTGTCGTAGATGTGGGCAGGAGTCCCAACCCGCCGATTCCATCGTCCTCTGAGTGCTTGAGTGTACGGAGGGCACATTTCTTATCAGACTGAGCACCTGACTCACGTTAGATCCCTATCATTGTCTCTCTGTTTACAACTCTGCATTCAGGTTAGATCTAAAATGGCCAAGTACTGTGCAGCTCAGAGGCAGGGCTGCCAACTTCCGGGGTGCTTTTTCCTCTGTCTCTCCCTGAGAACTCTTGAGGTCAACTTTTGCCAGATCAAGCCTTGTTTCCTTTGGAATACAGTAAGTCACAAAAAGCATGTAAAGAGTGACATTGACTCAGGGGTGCCCTCCTGTTTGATCGAGTGTCAGGAACCTGGTAGCTACACTGGGATCCTGCACTACAAAGTAGAATTCATTCTTGGATGTGTGTGTGTGTGTGTGTGTGTGTGTGTGTGTGTGTGTGTATGCATGTATGTGTTAACATGCATTTCTCGTGCCTTTCCACCCAGAGAAAGCCTGGGGTACAGTCCCATAGAGGGCAGACACATGCTCTATAAAGCCCACAATTCATTGGGAGCATAGCATACAAGGAAAACCCTAAGTCATACTCAGCCTTCTAGCAAACAGAGCAGCTGGGCCTAAGTGGAAGCAGCTGCCACCCAGCCCAGGAAAAGCTCTGCCTGACTCTCCAAGGCCCTTGTAGAGCCCCTCAGTGAAGCAGATCCCCCTTTTCTCATTCAAGGAGGCATGACACAAGGTCAGCCTGTCTCAGTGACAGTTGTATGCCAGCTGTAGACAGGAAGCCCTCACGGTTAGGGGTGTCTCTCACGGGCTACTGATGGCCCCTATCACAAGTGTGGTTCTGTAGCCTCCGGACACTTTCCTGAAACCACAGATGACCAACGCTTCAGAACCAAAGGCCAAAGCTTTGAACAGATGCTGGGTGGGGTTCTTCCTGGAGGAGGACAAAGAGGGGCAACCAAGTACTGGGAAGGGGTGCATAGGTTTCTCATCATGGAGGTAATAAATGGTCTGTTAACCACCATCACCACCACCACCACCACTACCACCACCACCATTATTTTGATTACACATGACCCCAGCGCTAGCCTGTCCTTGCCTGTTGGGCGCACAGCAAGACCAGAGTGGCCTGAGCACCCTGCCACCAGACACAGGCAGACAGAAGGAGCTTAGGAAGCTGAGGGGGATTAGAGAGGCCTTACTCTCCCCAGCTCAGGGAAAATGTCCCTGTGGCCTAACTCAGGACAATTGTGGGGGTGGGGAAAATAATTACAAGGCTCATCATCCTCCCTACCACGTTCAGGACTGATCTAAGCAGACACTTGGCATGGGTGGATCAACTTAAACTTGAGTTCAAATGCCAGTCTTCCGGGTATTATCCACATGGCACTGGGCAAGTCAGTTGTTGAATCTTAACAATAAAAGAGGTACCATCAACCCTCTAGGTTTTGCTGTGAATATTAAAAAACAAAACACATGGTTCACAAAAGGATTAACCTCTGCCCTTCCTTTAGCTCAGAAACAACTTTGCTACCACTCCGGTGGAACTGTCTTGAATGTCAAATAAGACATACTAGCATGCACAGAGCATTTCTCCGGGCCTAAGCCAGGTATGACCATGTTAAACGTCAAGCATTTTCACATAAATTATCAGGCTTATTCTGCATAGGACTGGGGCCAGGGTTGGGTTGGAGACCTTGGAGAGGTACTAGCTGGAGACCTGGAGAGGAGGAGGCCAGTGGGGGAAGAAGTATTGAAGGGATGGGCCTGTAGAGAGAGTCCAGGTGTGGTTGTAGGGATTTGGGGAGAGTGCTAAGCAGGGATTCCTCAGGGGTCCTTTAGCTTCCTCAGAGGGTGCAGGGATGAAAGCTGACTCCTGTGAGGAACAGGGGAAGCCAGGACACAGCCCTGGGCAGAGCTAAGGGGCAAGTAACCAGCCAATCTTGTCCTCTGGCTAAAGGGCAGTAGTGACCGGTAATGAGAAGGCTCTGGCTGGAATCAAGAAAGCCCCAGGTCAGCTCGGACTGTACAGTTCACCCACCGCGGGACCTCGGGGGCAACACCCTTGGGTTTTGATCTCTGGAGATGGACACGGACACGACACGGAAAGTCTGCCCTTCCCTTGGCTCAGGGCCTAATCTGAACACCGGTCCTCACCACAAGGGGAGAGGGGCTTGAAGAATGAAGCGAGATTGTGGAGGTCTCAATGAACAAGGCCTTTCCTCTGGGCTAACAAAGCTGCTTCCCCAACGCAGACCCGGGGCCACCGCCAGAATTGGGGGGCGGCTAGGGGATCTTGAAGGGACTGCTCAGCAGCCGCAGCACAGAGGAGGGATCCGCAAGGTAGGGATGTCACACCCGCACCCTGGGCCAAGATACTACAGCTTCCCGGAGATGGAGGTCGGAATCGGACCGGAACTTACCGGCAAACAGCCAGAGAGAGCCCCCC